TCACTAATGTGATAATGTCTATATGTAAATTTCTGGCATGTTTCAAATGTGGGGCTTCTCTCCCATATGAACATACCAAAATTTTGCATTTAACAGTCCTAATGATACTTGTCAGTAATTTACTTCTCAGTCTCCCTGTCTCTGTCTCTCCTATACACACACACTCTCTCTCTCACACACACACACACAAAGTATATTATCTATTAAAGTGGTTGTGAAATTAACATTTTTCCTGGAAGGAATATATCTGATTTAATGACCAAAACATTTTAAGGCAGCACAACAAAATTTCATAGGAACTAAATCTATTTCTTCACACCGATCATGCATGTTTTACTCAAGCATTGAGTCATTAGCATGTTTATAATGGTTCTAATTTAGCACAACATTTTCTGAATTTTATCCTTGAGTCATTTACAAATTGTTCATATTGAATAAACAAAGGAAACAGATTGCATTTTATACTTAGTAATTTATCTCAAAGAAGAGGGGAGGGTTAATTGTTTTAAAGTTTTGGTCTGTTTAGGGAAGTGAGCCTGCTTTTTCATTGCTAGGCATAAATGCCATTTCTCATTTGGGGGGGAGAGTAAGGGGCTATGGAGGAGTAAAATGAAAAATTAGGACAAGATTGGCCACTCCCAGAGGGGAGTGTGGAGCAAAAGGGGAGCTGGCACGAGATTATCCAAAACAGTTGGTGCATTCCTTAATGATCAAGTGCTTGAGAAGTCCAGCTCTTCCTGGCAGAGCATCTGTGTTGATGTTTATATCATTGCCCTGCTGTATGGGAAAGGCATGCTTTCTCTTGATGCTTGGCTAAAAATAGGATGGAATATAGCATTGTATGAGATATTTTAAGATAGCAAAAACATTTAAGAGGTTAAAGGTTTGGCTTTTGAATTAAAAAAAAAGTAGTGATATGATTTGTGTTATATTCCTTGCAGACTGAATTTTATCTAGAGTTTTTCAGTGATTCGAACTCTTGGTCAGACAAATCTAAGTTCATCTGATGCACACTGAAAACCCACTTGCTGTCTTTTCTGTCAGCCTCTTCACATGAAGCAGGCCTGAAACGAGCCTTTATTTAAGTCCCCTGGTTGCTTTTGGAGATTAGTTGTTTCACTAGAGAAAGGGAGAGAGAGAAGGAGAGCACCAGCCGTTGTCAGGCGGTGTGCTTTGTACGTTATAGTGACTTCAAAATAAAACTGGCACATTTTAGTGTCTAATTATTTTTAGTGAGCTTGGAGGGTTTTAATTAAAATTTAAGAGTGCTCTTCAAGCTCTCTAAGCTCCAATTTTATACCACTGTATTGTGGAGCACTTGTCACTGTGGAGAAATGTACAGTAACTGGCATCTGAATCTCTGTTTCCTAATGAAAAATGTGGGATGGATGATCAGCAAATATATAAATATATATTGTCAGAATTAGTTGTAAATCAAGGTCAAGGATATGTTTGCTAAGTTCTTGGATGATAGAAAATTTACTGCATTTGAAAGTTATGATTCTTACTGGAAAATAGGAGCAGCATCATTGTCTTTCCTGACTAAAATAGTGTAAAGATACTTTTTATGTCATGTTTGTCATGTTTTGGTATTGCTAACTATCAGTTTGAGCTTAAATGGAATAATAAATGTTTAGTCACAGATATTTTGTTTTAAAGTACAATAAAGACTTTTCTCATTATCCTTTTTTCCTCTCATCCCCTATGGTTTTAATGATGATTATTTATTCTCTTTGACCCATTCTGTGTAGAATAACAGTTAATACTGGCAGAGCTTTGTTTAGCTAGGAAAAATCTAAAATTGTTCCTAAAATATTGTCATAAGACTAGGAAATAGATAATCTCATATACCCACTTCAAATTCTTCTTTTTTTATTACCAAGCTGTGATAAAGCATCCTTGACTTTCCTGATCTAAAACCTAGATACTAAGGAAGAAGAAACATTGCTTTGTAATCTTTTAGGCAGTACATTTATTAAAAAGTTGCCTATGTTCCTTAGTAAAAATTTTCCTAAAAGAAAAACTTAAATTTTTTTAAGGGAAAAGGAAAAACCTTGCAATTGAGAATCAATTTTAGCACATCAAAATATTTTACATCTTTGATTAAAATATAAGTGAAAGTTAACTTTCAGGTTTTGATTTTTTAATAGTCCTGAATATTTGACCTCTTTGGGTTTTGCATTTATGCATAATCACAATAGGGCAAAGTCTGATGTGATCAATTACTTCTGAAAAGCTAGTGTTTAAGGATGACACAAGAGGTTAAATATTTGCTTTTAATTTGCATACTACTTGGATATTGTTTTAAGTGGAAAATTAAAAATATATAAATGTTCATTTAAACTTTTAACACAGTTTTTCATTGCAAATACAAAATTTTTGCACTGCTTGCAACCTGTCCTTATGGTATTTATTAACATTCTGCATCTTCTGGTCTTTCCTCCACGCATTACTTGCTTTACATTGCAGCATGGAGCATACATAGTATTAACTGTGGTATGACCTTAGAGGTTTGGCAGTCAGATAATTAAGTGAAAAAGCTAAGAGCTTTTCAAGACACTGTCTCAAGTTTTGAGTCTTCCTGGAATCTAGAATTGAGATAAACATTGATAAGATTGTATACAGGGACTTTTATTGTCCTGTAGATAAAGGCAATCAGTGTCTGTTGCTAAATATTTTCATGGGCTATAAATATAGACATGCAAAGCTGCTTGATTTTTTTTTTTTTAGCCCCATAGTTTCTTCTACTGAAGTGGGAACTCAGCTAGATTAACTCAGCTTTATGGTGAGGATTAATTTTCTGATAGGAATGTAAAATGCTTTGAAGTTATTAACCATTTTATTAATGAGTAGCTTTTATATACAGTTTTGTCCACATGGTTTGATTTATTTTTGAAGTGTATGTTTCTGTTGTTCATATAGTTCTATTTTTCTCCCATGAAGTTTCAGCATTCTTTTTCTGGAGGTCTGAAAGATTACAGGCCTATTTATAGAAATGAGAGACATATTTTAGCCTGTTTTACATTTAGTGTGTATCTAATGCTAGTTTATGAAGTTGCTATAAATTTGTGGTCATTACTGGTAAATTAGCTTTTGTCTTTGACCAATATAATATGTGCTTCAGTTCAACTTTTAACCAGACAAATTATGCTTTAGCATTTTTACCAGTGGTTACTGGTTTAGTGCAATATATAAAATGTATGAAAGGATGAAAAGTAACTGAACTGGGTAAGAGAGGATGTTAACGGCATTTTGTTAATTATTCTTATCCATGTTCTGCTATTATATAAATCTCTCCTGGAAATGTAAATCTAAATTGAGATTATATCTGATAGGCATGACTTTGAAAATTTGCTTGACTCTCAAATCTGGAGTTTTCTTTTCTGTGACATTAGTAGAAAACAAGATTCAGACTGAACAAATTATGAACCTTTTTCTCAATTTAAAAAATTTAGCAAGAAACCATTTTGGCAATTGAATATAAACTGGATATTTGCATATACACATAGGCTTTGTTAGGTCACGCAGAATCTAATTTTTAATCACAGTGGTAGGTCATTTATTGAAGTCTAAGTAAATAATAAGGAAGAATGGAAGAGAAAAGTAATGCCAAAAGGAAGATAAGATGAGGGAAAAGTAAAGGAAGGGTAAGGCAATTTTCACTTAATAGAATCAAGCTGACTTTTATTTAGAAGAAAATTTAGCTTCTGTGATAGCCAAATGGTTGCTCTTCATCAGCCATTTCTGTACACACTGATCTGGATTCCATCCATTCCCTGATTGATTGATCATGTCATGAACAAATGTTAATTGTTTTCACCAATACTTTCTAACCATGCAGAGTCTTCTCATGTGTTACGCGGAGCTCACTTTCTTTTTCTGCAGCTTATCTAGTTTCTAAAATCCTGTAGATCCATCTTGACCTTACTGTCATACTGAAAAATTCAAGGAGGATTTAGAAGTTGAAGGAAAAAAATGTAAGGAAAAATGCTAAAGAGATAGGTGCTGATATGAGAGAGAAAAGGCATTTGAAATTGAAGTAACTATTTTAAATATAAATTTAAAAAGAAGTTATCGGAATTTTGACATTTGGAATGTTAAAGTTTAATCAGAGTATGTTTTGCATTAGGATTTAGTTTTTAAATCTTCATTCTCCTTTGAAAAAGTGTTCTATTTCTTAAGGTCTGAGTCTTAAAAAGTGGAAGTAACTAGTAAGCAGAGACTAGTTGCAAGTCCATCCGAGTAGAAAGAAAAAACTCATTGAGTAAAACTTGGTACTTATTAGTACATTCTAAAGTTTGAATTTCTGCAAATTTGTGCAAACAACTATAATAATTCTGTACTGACTAGTGCTATTTAGAGATACCGTAAGGTTTAAAAAGTATTTTCTTCAAAAGAATATATATCTCTCTTTAATGTCAGAAAAGTTTCAACAGTTTTCATTACTTGGGACAGAGGGCATCAAATTTCTTTTCATTTTGCTCTAATGTAGGATTTTACAAAAATTGCCGTGTTTATTACTTTTTAAAGGACTAATTGGTTACAAGTTGATTGGTCTTGTCTGTCTTGAAGATTTGTCATTTTTTCTTGAATAGCATAATGAATTTTTCTTGGAGTTAAAAAAAATAACATGGATTAAAAGGAACATTAGCTTAAACCTGTGAAAGAGCCCCTTTTTCTGTTCTGTCAGTCTAAGTAATGATAATGCTGATCGAATATTAGAATTACAAATATACTACCAACCTAATATTATTGAGCATTACCTTCCCTCTCCCAGCAATAACTTAAATATTTTTCTGGTGAAAACAGGTTTAGTTATGGCATTTTACAATAGAACTATGTAATTATCTATATCCTAGGGTTAAAAGACAACAAATGGTTTTGTATATTTTTAAATGTGAGAATTTCTCTATAAATTTGCCTTCTGAATTTGAATTATTTTAATACTTGTGAGATATATTCATGCAATATTTTGAATATCTACTTTTTTATTTTAATAGATTCCTCCTGCATGGAAAAACTACTTTCAAAAGATTGGAAGGAAAAAATGGAAAGACTAAATACCAGTGAACTTCTTGGAGAAATCAAAGGTACAATATTAAAATATCAAAGCTATTAATATAGAATATTATTTTTATAACAACATATTTGCTGATATATGTATCCTAACATTAAATTATTATGTCTAATATATCTTTATATATAAGAAAGTAAAAGTATTGTTTTTCCTGAAATTTTATTCTTTGTAATCTATACAGAATAAAATTTTTGCCCTCTTTGTATTAGTCTACAAATATAAAATTTATAGTACAAACTGCTTTATTAGTTTATTTAATAAAGCAAGTAAATTTTATGAAGTGTGTATATAAATCATGAAGGGATGAAAATATGTAAAGTATGAAAAAGAAAAAAATACATTAAAATTGAAGAAAATCTAGTTCTTCCTCTTGATGTTATATTAGTGGTTTAATTTGTAATTTCAAATCATTAATCGGAATTTTTTTCTGTTAAAAAGGATCAACTATAACACATATAAAAAGGTTTGTAGAATGTGTTGCACATAATGAATTATGGGTAGATTCTGAGGCCTGTTTATTTCTCAGTTCTATCACTTAGATGAGTCGCTGAGGTCAAGTTATGAACTTTGCCTGGTTTGGATTTCTCATATCGAAAATGGGGATAATAGTAGTACCTACCTCATAAGCTCATTAAAAGAGTTAATATCTCTAAAGCTTTTATTTTTAAAGTTAAATTTGTCAGTCATTTAAGTTTCTGTGTAACTATGAGGTTACATTTTTTACTTCTTCATTTGTGAATATACTTCATTCCTGGTCTTCCTGGGACCATCATGTTTTTGCTGTATTTTGTCATATGTTTTTATGTTATTTACATTCTATGGAAGAGAAGTTTTAAATAGCGTCTGACACTTAAGAAAATTTTCGTGAGAGTAAATTATGATCATTATTATTAACATGTCCACATAATCAAGTTTGATTAATCTAAAACAGATTTCACAGGATTTAACAATTCATTACCTCTGAATATCTTTATTTTTGAAGTACTGGATCTTATTTTGAAACATGTCAAAGGTAAACAGTTCCTGTCTATTATAGAGTTGCTTCCCTCAGTTAAGAAGTATTATCTTATGAAAAATCATTTAAAATAGAAGTATACTTCTTATATAACTCTCTAGTTGATTCCTTTATGAAGATGAAGTAGTGTATTACTAGTTTTTGGTATCTTAAATATAATTATAATCATTCATGAATTTAACAGTTGTTCTTTACGATCTTCACTCTGACATGCATTAATAATTGGGAACTTATGTTAGGTTTTGAATTTATCAAACAAGTTCAGGTGACTATTCCTATTGGTGATGGATAATTTTTCATTTAAATGAAAATTTGGTGATCACGATATGATTGAAAAGTTATTTTAAAGTAATCACAGACAATTTCCTAGTGTTCAGAACATTTTGTGTTCAACTCAAAGAGAAAATGAAGTCATTTCTTTCCCAAAGAAAAATTAGTACCTTCATTAATATAGTGTTGACATCAAATAAAAACTTCTTCCATTTTGAACTCATAAAGGCAATTTGTTATTTTGGGGAAAAAAAAGGTCAATTTATAACTGATAGAAAGAAAGTCATTTGTGACATATTCTGTGTCCAACTATAGCAACTTGATGTGTGCTACTTTGCACGTCATTCTGTATTGTTTTTCTTCTGAAGCCTTTGATTTTTATAACAGTGAGAACAGAAATGGTTTATGCAAAGGTAAGTTTCACCAACATGAATGATGGGGGTCTTGCCTTCTCTTAGTAATGTAGAAATTAATGTTTTATTATGTTATGGTTTGCATTTATTGTGTTATGATGTTGGAGGGCAACCTGCCATTCCACAATTTTCATTTTATTTTTGTTTCTGAGTTCAAAATATAAAAGTCTAATCTTACTAGATTTTATATAGTCTAAGTTTTTAAATGTCAAAAGTGATAAAGCACTTTTGATAAAGCACATCAAAAATTAAACTTTTCAAATGTTTATTTTCTGAATTTTGTATGGGATATGTAAACTTTGATTTACTTACTTTTTTGTCTCTTATTTTATTCTAACATCTTGTCACCATAAATGTTTTTATAAAAAATATACCAGTAATATAAGAAAAATGGAAAAAAATTATTCAAATAGTTTGCTTTAATTGCTATTCCAACTCAACATATACTTTTAGTATAGGTGGAAAAGGCTAGTTACTATCCACTTAGATTATGTATTTCTATTCTGAAATTTTTAAGTGAACCAAACACTATCTTAAGGAATATATGTCATTATGCATTGTTAGTATTTAATATTATATCTCAAGCATTACATATTTTAATAAATCTTATTTTTTTCATTGTAAAATTTATACACTTTTTTACTACAGAATATATGAATACAGATAAAAGAAATTAGAGTTGTTTCATTCTACCTATAGTGTATATCCTTTCAGTTTTTATACATATATATGTATGCATACATACCTGCTATTTTTTCTTTTAAATTTTGAGCTCTTCTTTTAATATTCTTTTTAATTTTTTTCCCACTTATGACATTACTGTGAATGTCCCTGTGAATGGGTCATCTTTTAATGTCATTATTTTTTAAATGATTATAGATTTGATAAAAACATAAAACAGAAGTAAAATACTAATTGGAAACCTTCAGATTTGCAAAAGAATAATATAACCACTTAGAAATTTAACAAAATTTCTAGAAATTTGACATAATAATGAAGCATTGTCAAATGATCAGAGGTACACTCCTGAACTAAGCAATTAGAGAATAAACATAATTTTTTCTCACATGAAACTTTTGCAAAAATTCACATTATATATTTTTAGAGCAAGTTTCAACAAATTTCCAGTAATCTGTATCAACAAATTTCATTATTTAACCATAATGCAATTAAGTTAGCAAAAAATATTAAAAAATTAATGGAAAGTAATTAAATTCCTACTTGGAGAGGAGCTGGTAGAAGAATGGCTTCTCCTTATGTGCAGACTTGTTTTGCATTGTTGCCTGTCTGAAATATTTTTATTTGCAGAAACAATTTCATAAAATGAGGTTCTTATAATTTAATGGGCTCTCTTATTCCACATTTAAGTTGTTTTTGTTTGTCATTCAAAACAACATCCTGAACATGGAAAACTTTTTATTAATACTTCCTGGCTTTATCAGTGTTTATTTTCTTAGGATATATACCTGAAAAATGAAAAACCTGATTCAAATGTATTCTTTTTAAAACGGCTTTGGTTATTACTGCCAGATAGCTCTTCAGAGAGAATATGTATTCTGTGCAATCACCAGTCTAACTACAAGTGGTCTCTGGTCATCCCAATAAAATTTATTAAATTTGCATTAAAAATACCTTGCATTGATGAGGAAAATAACATATTCTTGCCAATTTTATTTGAATTTCTTTTATTGATTATGAAGTTTTACATAAACTTTTTAATGAAGTATTTTTTTTAAAGATTTATTTATTTATTCATACAGAACTGGGGTACAGGCCAGAGATGTGGAGGGTGAGAGGATTCACCAGAGAGAGTGGGGAGCAGAAAAGGCAGATCTACGAAGTACACTGCTGAGGGGAGCAGCGGGTGGGTCAGGAGAGGTCTGCCATACCATGTGGTCGCCTCCAGGGCAGGCGGAATCGAACTCATGCGGAAGCGGCTTTAGATTCTCAGTGCTGTGCTTTAACCCGCTGCGCCACCAGGGAGGGCCTGAAATATTTTTTAATGAAATATAAAGATGAGGGAAAAATCATATATTCAATTCCTTTATGTGCCTCAACAATTTCTTTTCTTTTAAATATACTTTCTGCATGTTCCTTTTGATACTTTCTCTATAATACAGGATATTTTTCTTCCTCCTGTATTTGAGATATTCTTCATTTTATATATGTCCTATTACTGTGTTTAAGGATGCTCATGAATCTTGTCTTTTTTTTTTTTTTTAATGGATCATTTTGTAAGCCCCCAATATTAGCTCTGGTCATTTTTCCATTAATTTTTTTCTCTTCTCCCCTTTTTATTTACCTCTTCTCTTACTACACTGCCTAAAATGTCAAGAATAATATGAAGTAATAGAGGAGATAGCAAGTATTTTCTGTCGTTTGTAATTTGTGGAATTCTCGTCAATATTTCACCATTAATTATTACATTAATTATTGATTTTATTTTTAATCAGTTAAAACCATTCTAGTCATAGTTTGTTAGGAGATTCTATTAAAACTTGCATTTTATTTTATGGCATGTCTTATTGGTTTTTGTTTTTCAAATTTACTGATGAAATAAACCCTGATTAGTCATGGGTGTAGTCTTGTTTTAATGTGCTGCATAATTTTATTTGCTCATATTACAGTTATTTTTGCAACTATAATCATAAATGAGATTAGTTTGTGATTTTCTTTTTTTTCTTTTGCATTATCTTTGTTAATTTTTAGTAACAGAATTCATTGTTGAATTGAAAAGCCTTCATTTTCTAGGTTATGTAAACTATTGAATAGATAACATGTGAGGAAAGAATATACTCAGAAATAGATATGCCTATGGTTTTCTTTGGAGATAGTTGCTTTTCATTTTCTATCTTCCTTAAGCAATTTTGTCTTGAAACATTCATTTTTTAGTTACTTGTATTGAAATATTCTTTTTTTAGTTATTTTAAGGAAAAATTCCTTAAAACTGTGCATTTCACAGACTTTAAAATATGATAATGTTGATTTAATATACAGTATTCTTCTGTTTTCTATTTATTTCTTTGCATGTAGTCTATTTAAATTTTTGCATATTTGTGTTTTCTCTTTTACACTCAATTTTACTTACAAGTGTATCTTCTATATTGTCCCCTCTAGCTTTAGCTCTGGCAAGGATCCATTTTTAGGGTTTATTTATCAAGTCTGCTATTCGTTAATATGCTAACAGTTTAATCTTGCTTTTACCATTATAATTTCTCCCTTCCTTGTTTTCCTTATAATTTTTCCTGATGCCTTCTAATTTCCTAAATTGAAATAATTACAAATTAAATTAATTAAAATTAGTTAAACATTAAA